GGTGTCCTAAGGTGTTCCACTATGACATAATTAAAATTTAAATATCCTAAAATTTCATTCGAATTTCGACTTTTTCTCGTACTCGAAACATAAGGAATTACTAAATTCAATTTTATTCAGGGCTCTGAGAATCTGTAATGCGCTCCTGGTATATAGGGTGTTTTATGGTGTTCTATTATGTCGTAATTAAAATTCCACTAAAATTTCGATATTTTCTCGCACTTAAGATTCGAAAAATTTCGAAATTGATACATCGTCTAAACAGAAATCGATATCGATGTTCAAAGTTACGATCGATACAAATTTCTCCAATTATCGATAATACGTGTATACGCGTTAACGTAACTGCAATGACCGACATGTAACGCGACGGCAGGTGCTTTGCTATGTAATCGATACGAGTTCTCCGGGGTGCAGACGTTGTCCACGTTCCAGCGAAAATTCGAAAGAAAGGCTAAAACCTAAAGGAACGTTCGCTGGGCTGTATACTATGTAAGTCGATTGCCAGATACAAGGGATCGATTGGTAACTTCTCGATAGAAATCGGTATTCCGGTAAAATAAATCAAATAAAATTGTAAACGTGGCGAAGGAATCGCTGTAAGCTGCTTTAATTCGCGGTCTGTCGTCGCAACGATTCTTCCCGTCTCTGTCGTTACGGTTCCTGGTAGTCTCGAACGACGAAGACAGTTGAAATCGATTTACAGGAACGACCCGGTTCGCGGGCCAACGTTTTTCGCCCTTTTCCAGACACCTTCCCCGATCGAACATTTCTCAACATTTCTCAACGTTTCTCTGCTTCCACGGAAACGCGCTCTCGTCCGTTCGGCGAGGTACTCTTTCCTCCCGTTACGCCTCGAAATGGAAAGTAACCCGTTACAGCGAGCGACCGCGATGACCATACGAAAGGTGCGTTTCGCTTCTCGTGCCATCGAACGTGACTAATGCTCGCAAGTTCATGCACCTTGGAAAATCGTCGATCGCGAAAAGAAATGCGCGCTCGCGTCGGGAACACGTTTCACTTTCCGTAGCGGCCTCTGAACGTGGGAGAAACCGTTTCGCGGCCGAACAAGGTGGCCAGAATAATCGTTCCGACGATAGGCAACGAACCTATCAGTGGATAGGTCTCGAATGTTTTATCACACGAGGAAGAATTCGGTGAGAATAACGGAGAAGGGTTAACGAGATTCGGTGGTAGACGGAAGATGTAGGGAGTGGGCTTACAGTCGAGATGCTTTTTCTTGGGGCCTATGAGCTCCTCGGTGGTGGCTTTGCAGACAGATTTCGCGAGGCCCTGCCCGGCGATGCTGTGTCTGGCTGCCAGCAACCTGTCGTTTATCGTCTGTCCCGCCATACTGTCGTCGCTGCTGTCACACACACGCGACTTTTTCCAAGCTCACGGCACCTTACGGTCCAACGACCGTGCTTATTATCACTCCTAGAGACTGTTCCTCCGGGTTCGACGGACACCGTCGAACAACGTGTCACGCACGCACACACACGCGCGCACACCCGACCGCGGGAACTGGCGTGAACGAGACCGAAACCGAGAAAGAAAAATATATACGCGACGTGCCTGCCGGTTCCGATCCGGTTCCCTCCGACTGTCTATCGATTTCGTAATTGGCCCCGCGGCGGTCCCGTCCTCCAATATCGCGACTAGATAGAGCCGAGGAGAGCCCTGTCTCGCGCGCGCGTTAACACGTCTCAGCTGGGCGGACGACAGCTCAGCTCTCACGGCGACGACAGAACGATCGCACGGCCAGCAAATATGGCGACCCCGGGGACCCTCCTACTCCCTCGCCGGACCAATCACTTCTAACAGCCAATCCCGACCCTCCTCCGCCAACGCGAACACGGCCTAACGTCACTCTTCTCAGATAGGTCGGCGCTTCTCGCGCACGCGCAACCGAGTCGCACCGCAGTGCCGGACCCAGCGCGCGCTGAAACGGGCGCATTGGACGCCCGGCATTTTCGATTCTTACAATTGGCCGAAAACTTCCGGGATTATGAATTCGAGACCCTACACTCGGTCCCGTTACTATTCCTACTACCTATTACAGAAATTGTCTACATTAAATAATTCCTTTCATTTTTATAAATGAATGTATGGTATCGTTTCATTTAGCCGAGTTTCTTTAATAGAAGCTACGGATACTTATGGAACTGAATATACATACATACAGGATGTCCGAAAAATGTTGTAACGCCTTGAAAGGGGTGGTTCGGGAGGTGATTTGAAACAACTTTTTCCTTAGCGAAAATCTTGTCCGAGGCTTCGTTATGGTGATATTAACGGAAAACACTGACCAATCAGAGCGCGAGTATACTGGCGGAGCGCTCGCGGTAGCGTTCGCTACGCGCTCTCTGACCAATCAGAGCGCGAGTATGCCAATGGAGCGGCCGCTGATTGGACAGTGTTTTCCGTTAATATCTTCCCAACGAAGCCTCGTACAATATTTTCGCTAAGGAAAAAGTTGTTTCAAATCACCTCCCGAACCACCTCTTTCAAGGTTTTACAACGTTTTTCGGACATCCTGTATATATGGTATATAGTTTTCCGATTCATTTTTCATGAATTTTTAAAAAATTATTTCGCACAAGCGAAAAATAAGGGTTCAAATGCGCAACATTTTTCAAATGAAATTTTAAGTATGCAATTCTAAAGTACCATCATGTTAATGTTTATTCCAAAATTTTGTTATGTATATATATATATTATATTATTATATTATATTATATATATACGCGAAACCAAATTCCAAAATTTCTTTTATATATATTTTCTATGCATTTTTGTATGTTATTTATATATATAAAAGAAATTTTGGAATTTAGTATTTCGCGTACTTGTATGAATATTTATTAACGAGAGATGTTTATGAACAAAAAAATACGCGATACTAAATCATATAAAATAAATTACCACTAAATGAAGTTATCAGGCCTCATAGTATAAAAACATTCGAGAAAAATGTATCATCTGTTTCAAAATTAATTATTCTGTTTGTTCGAACTGAAAAAATGCAAATATTTTCCTTTCAAATTTGAAGAAGCTTCTAAATTTGAAACAACTGTTAAGATAAAGAATTGTAAATTGGGAAACCTTATTTCAACAAAATCTTGACTATAACATTTTTACTATAACAATAAACACGGTTAGAGACATAGTTAAAATTCTTTCAACCTACTGTTTTATTTCACCCCCTCGTTTGTCAAGATCCACGCCTGGAAATGTCTCCCTAGATACGTCCCTGGCGCCGACGTCATCGGACCGCGTATGCGCGAAAAATCTCGGCTCATCTGGGAACACTGCCTATCATCTCTGACGTCATACCGCGCTGGTCAAAACAAGCTCCCGACAATGATAGATTCTTTGAAAGATCCTTTCATCGATCAAACTTTCGATTCGACATCAAGATTAATCGCGGTACACCCTTTTCTCTTAATTACGTAATTTTTGATGAACTTTTCTAGCCTAAAAATTTAAATAAACAGACGCACGTCCGTAACGAGACAAATCGATTCGCGTTGCGAAAGATGTTGCATAATTTTTGGGGTATAAAAAAACACGTAATGCGTGCGATTGGCCTTTCGAATGTACAAATATCGATCGAAATGGGTGTCTCCTATCGCGACAAGGTTCGAATCGATAGCGTCGGTTCAATTTCTGCGCACGCAAGTGTACTCCCATCTAAAAAATATTCTATCGATGATCAAAGGCAAATAACGTTCTTATCGATCTTATCAAAAGTATACCATGTATTAATACTTAATGTACCGTATATTTAACATGCCATGTTTCGTATATTTTTCATTTACGACTCGATCGAGTATATATAACCGAGTCTAGGTAATTGATAAACTTTCGTGTGAAGGGAACCATAGAACTAGCAGGTATGCAGGGTGTCCCAAAAACGTTGTAACACCTTGAAAGGGGTGTTTCTGGAGGTGATTTGAAACAACTTTTTCCTTAGCGAAAATCTTGTCCGAGGCTTCGTTGAGGAGATATTAACAGAAAACACTGACCAATCAGACCGCGAGGAGGCCGTCCTTGCCGACCAATCAGAGCGTGAGTATGCCGGTGGAGAGCGGCCGTGGTTTTCGCTACTGCGGCCGCTCCAACGGCGTACGCGCGCTCTGATTGGTCGACGTTTTCTCTTAATATCTCTTTAACTAAGTCTCAGACAACATTTTTGCTAAACTAAAAAGTTGTTTCAAATCACCTCCCGAACCACTTCTTTCAAGGTTTTACAACATTTTTCGGACACTCTGTATAGTTCAATGGTGGCAGCACTGCCAACGCCAACTTATGCGTCCCCTACAATTAGATTTAAGTTGGTAGAAGCGTTACTATTAGGCTTCGAATAAATCTGAAGTTTGCCGACATGTTGTCTCGTTTCCTCTTTTGAACATTTTCCAAAAACGAGACAAACATATCGGCAAACTTCAGATTTATTGGAAGCCTGCGGTTTGGCCCATCACTAATTCGCTCTCTGGTTCGCTCCCAGTCGCTCACGAAGCGGCTCAGTGAGCAGTGGCCATCTTGGATTTTGTTTTCTATAACTCTAGTTCATTGGGCTGGTCGGCCATCGAGCATTGAGAGTCGAAGCTGATGTCATCATTCATAACCTGCCGAGTGTCAAAAGTTTTTACACTATTGCATTATTAATTATATTTATATCACCAAAATGTTTTCAATTTAGACTTTTTATGTAGGGTTTAATAACAAATTGCAGCCAGTGTTGTAAAGTGTTGACCAATCTTGACTACAAGGTAAGTTGTCAAAATCTGAATTGCGAGACACTTTTATTCATACAGAAAACTGTTTTTATTATAGATCCATCCCACCAAAGTGTTTTGAACTTAAGCTTTTTATGCAGAGCTTGTACAAATGAAGGGAACCACAGACGTGGAGGTTATTCGTTAACAAATGTCAGCAGCTGTTGTGAAATGTTTATCCATTTTCAGTACTAGGTAAGTGATCAAAATCTTAATTGTTAGGTGCCTTTATTCATACAGAATAGATCCATACCACTAAAGTGTTTTTAATTTAGACTTTTTATGTAGAGCTTATAGAAATGGATTCATTTTCTCATTTCATCATTAACATTAAAATTTCTTGCAGGTAGAAACAAAATTGCAGATATACATAATTATTTGTAAGTTGAACGAATAAGTGTTTATAATTAATCAATTATATGAAATATATACACATATTCGCTTTTGTTATCCCCTCTCCCTTTATTTTACTCTATTCAATTAAAGAAACAAATAATAATTTAGACTTCTTATGTAGAGTCTACAGAAATAGCAATTTTATTTTTATAAATTTAAAATAGATTGTATATAATAAATTATTTGTAAAAAGAAGTCAGATCCGATAAAAAAAACTTCAAAAAAGTAAAAAAATTACGTCAAGTACATGAAACAGTGGAGGACTCAAGGAGTTACAAAAAATAAAAGATCCCCATAAAAAAACTACAAAAAAATAGAAAAAGATGTGAAATCGAAATGAGCTGCCAGATGATTTAGCTAGATTTCCGCGGCCTGGAAGTCAAATGCTTGGCGTGGCCAGGCAAGGTCAAGGTGTCGGTGAATAAGAATTATTTTAAAACGCAAAATAATGAAAGTGTACTCATATTGTCAGAGTTTTAAATGGACAAATTATCTGAAAGTCTGTGAGAGAGGAAGTATATTGATGATCTATAATGCCTTGCCTGGCCACGCCAAGCATTTGACTTCCAGGCCGCGGAAATCTAGGAAAATCATCTGACAGCTAATTTCAATTTTACATCTTTTTCTGTTTTCTTGTAGTTTTTTATGGGTATACTTTTCAGAAGGTATACTGGAGAAACTGCACTGTCTCTGGTTTACCTTTTTTAAATTTCCCGCTACTTTGCATGGATACAAACGCTACCGCGAGCGCTCCACCGACATACTCGCGCTCTGATTGGTCGGCGAGCGCGGCCTTCTCGCGCTGTGATTGGTCCGGGGCTTTCTATTAATATCTCCTCAACGAAGCCTCGAACAACATTTTCGTTAAGGAAAAAGTTGTTTCAAATCACCCCGTGAACCATCCCTTTCAAGGACCTCCAGCATTTTTTGGACACAGTGTAGTGGCTTCCGGGAAGTCATCTTTCCGAACAGATGAAGAGACTCGCTCCAAATACAGCCGTACCTGAGAGGTTAAAAGAAGCCTTTATTATCAATTTTTTACAAATAATTTAACCCTATTGTCCCGGAATTTTGATTCGTTAAAATCTATTTCAATTTCCCGTTGTTGATTCTCCTTTTCGATTAAATTCCCGCGCCATTTTGGCTCCAAGTAGGACGATCCCAAGGAGCTGCGCAGTGGGACCGTTTCGAGGGCACTGCGCAGCACGCCGAGCGGTTGTCGGAGAGAGTCAGTCAGTCGACGCGCGGCAGTCGGTGGGTGAACGTATTCTTAGTTGCGACATTCGACGGAACAGATCGGTGGACTTTTTCATGAAGAAACCGTGGTGAAGTGACCGGGACCCGTCTTCTCCGCGAAGAAGAAGAGGACGACGAAGAGTGGAAGGAAGCTGGGTGCATGCTGTGGTCATGGGAAGCATTCTGGAACACCATCGGTGAGTGACGCCGCACTTGGTCACGATCTGGTTACCGTCATTTCATTTTTGAAATTCCATGGCACCAGGGAAAATCGTTATCGCCCGTGGAAAGCACATTTCGTCGTTTGAATCTTTTAGACATGTCGATGTACACGTTACGATGCTAGCGATTTATCAGTCAACGTTCCTCTTGTAGTCGTTCGAAATGACAAGATCCGCCATATTGTCCCGCCGAGTATTTGGCGGTTACTGTTCAGGTTATACTATTCAGGTTACTGTTCTAAACGAGAACATATTGTTTATCGTTCCATACAGCCGTGGATTTGATGAAAAGTATCAACGATTCGTCTTCACGTAAAGGGTGTACGTAATTCTAGCGAGTTGGAACGTTTCTAATCGTTTTTAAGAAGATGTGTATTCTTTGAAAATTGACGAGGTCGCGAATGCGTGAGCTGTGAATGCCTCGATTCACTTCCAAATCAGTCTAATCTAATCTAATATGTTAATACGACCGGATGCCACGATTGGATGTTGTAATCGTGGCTGTTAATCGCATCGTCGAACGCATTCGAACGGGCAACCAGTTGCTTTGCTTTCTGCTTGCGAAGCTTTCATGTATTCGCGTGCATCGGTTTCAATTCGTTGCCGTCGCGTTGTGTTGGAATCGCGGGCAAACAAGATGGCGGGAGATTCGAATCGGTTCTCCTTGATTTGCCCGTTGCGTGGGAAGAACCAGGTCGAAACTAGGAACTTGAACGGGTCAAAGCAGTCTAGTGTTATTTGTTTAATAAATCTTACATTTTTACATTTTACATTAGGCTGCGTCAGGATTAAATTCAGCAAGAAGATATACAGGGTGTCCGAGAAATGTTGTAACACCTTGAAAGGGGTGGTTGGGGAGGTGATTTGAAACAACTTTTTCCTTAGCGAAAATCTTGTCCGAGGCTTCGTTCAGGAGATATTAACGGAAAACACCGACCAATCAGAGCGCGAGTATGCCGGTGGAGCGCCAGCAGTGGGCGTGGCTACGCGCTAGGCGGCCGCGCCCATACGCTACCGCGAGCGCTCCATCGGCATACTCGCGCTCTGATTGGTCAGTGTTTTCCGTTAATATCTCCTCAACGAAGCCTCGGACAACATTTTCGCTAAGGAAAAAGTTGTTTCAAATCATCTCCCGAACCATCCCTTTCAAGCTGTTACAACATTTTTGGGACACCCTGTACAGGGTGAGAGTTGAAAAATGACCCCCTTCCCAATCGCCTCTAGTCGCATTGTAAAGTAACGGGACACGGGTGCATACGAGATAAGAGATTCGACGGTCGTATTTCGATCGAGCGCGCAGCACCTGCGGGGAAATCGCTTTGACGAAGCCCAGTAACCGTCGGATCAAAGACTGGGTGCGTGATGAACGACTGCTTAAAAATAGCCGACAGAGTATACGGAGGAATAAAAGCGCGAGGAGCGGACCCAAAGGCCATCGCTATCCGTGGACAAACGAAACCCTACGAACGAAACCACGCGGTTTCCCCTTCATCGACGCCGACGGCTACGAGATAGTTATACGTATTCGCGTAATTGCATCGAACTTTGTCACCTATGCAATAAAACTCTGCCAACTATCTTCAACCTTTGAATCTAATTAATTTTATCTTCTTATATGTACACGTATATGAATTCAGCAACGAGATGTAATTTAGTTAACACTATTTTAATATTATATATAATCATTCATTAATTTTTCCGATAAATACAATATCGTATTTATCTAAAAATTGATAAATCAAGTTAACGCTAAAAAGACGTCACTTTTATATTATTTCAAGTATTTATATAAATACTTTTCACCGTTAACTTTATTGATTTTTCTACCAATAGGTCTAATTAATTATATCTTCTTATATATAAACTCCGTAAGCAGATATAATTAATTACTTATTACTGTCACGATATTACACACCAATATTCATTAATTTTAACAATATACAGTGTGTCCCAAAAATGTTGTAACACCTTGAAAGAGGTGATTCGGGAGGTGATTTGAAACAACTTCTTCCTTAGCGAAAATGTTGTCCGAGCCTTCGTTGAGGAGTTATTAACGGACAAACACTGACCAATCAGAGCGCGAGGCGGTCGCGCTCCCCGACCAATCAGAGCACGAGTATGCCAATGGAGCGCCCGCTGATTGGTCAGTGTTTTTCGTTAATATCTCCTCAACGAAGCCTCGGACAACATTTTCGCTAAGGAAAAAGTTGTTTCAAATGACCTCCACTTTATATATACAGGGTGTCCGAAAAATGTTGTAACACTCTGAAAAAGGTGGTTCGGGAGGTGATTTGAGACAACTTTTTCCTTAGCGAAAATGTTGTCCGAGGCTTCGTTACGGAGATATTAATAGAAAACCCCGACCAATCAGAACGCTCCAACGGTATACGCGCGTTGTGATTGGTCAATGTTTTCCGTTAATATCTCCTCAACGACGTCTCGGACAACATTTTCGCTAAGGAAAAAGTTGTTTCAAATCACCCCCTGAACCATCCTTTTCAAGGACCTCCAACACTTTTGACACGCCCTGTATTTGTTATTATACAGGGTCGCTCGAAAACTCCGTAACGAAATATTCAAATATGACCCCATACGTAAACAAGATGAAAGATTTGTAAGAAACGAGGATCGTCACTGAATTGCACGTGAATTTAAACAATTTTAACAAACTAAAGAATAGACGAAAGTTTAACCTAGATCTCACTTGTCATCATATTATCATAGATATCCTACTTAAATTTAACAAAAATTTTTGTATATCTTGTCCCCGAACCGATCGGTCGTCTTCGCTTCTTACCACTCTCTGCCATACCGACTGATCTACACTTTCACCTATTTCGCTTACTTTTGTTTCTTACTGTTGCAAGAAGTAACGAGTTTCTGCGCAAGATGGCGCCACGGGAGTCATCTGAAAAATCAAACGCGCGAGGAATCTCTCGCGACACTCTTACCTCGATAACGTGGTCTTAAATAGGTTATGTCCTACAGAAAGCTTCGAGGAATCGAGACGTTATAGACGATAATACAAAACGAGTCTCTACGAAGATGTTTTCGTATCTTAACCCAAGTTCGGCCGCGACAATAAATTGCCGACACGAGAAATTAGTATCGCGTTCCTCGTGTTTGACGTCACGTCGCGGCGCGGCTCACGGGTAATAAAGTTAAATTAATTGCGTTAATTCGCGGCAATAAAATTAATTTCGCTATATAGCTGAACGCGCGTCAAAATTAGGGAACGTCGAATTAAATGCACGCGTTAACTGGCCCGACGTCAGAGGACGTCGCGTTTCGTTGGAAAGCTGTTTAAACTGGTATCGACTGATAACCGTATCGTACATAGTTTTTATTTTTAGTGTGGTCCGCCGATGCGATCACTTTTATGTTTGTTCGCGTTAAGTAGCCGTGTGTAGGCAATTTTTAATTTACAACGATTCAAAGTAACACTTCTTGGACATTTTTATTTTGTGTAATTGTAGAATTGTTGTAAATTGGTAATAGAATATTTTTCGAAATGTTCTTAATTACAACTTCCGGTTATTAAATGTCGACTCGACAAGAGATTGATTCGAGGGCTACGTACGAATTTCTTGGGATTTTTATCATTTTTATATCTTAGATATTTGGTGGGGTTGAAGATGGCCGCGTCCTTGGTTACCGACCGAGTCGGAGGTTTTTGGGATGTGAAACCTTGAATTGGAAAGCGTGGTACGCTGAGTAACTTGTTTTCCTAGAGTATCTAAAATGATTCAATATTTACCTTAGGAAAAGTCTGGCTACTGGCGGAAGTGCCATGGCAAATAAGATAAACAGAAGGCTGGACTTCCAACGGTATGCTATAGTTCGAATAGGGTTTATGGGCAACCTAATTTAAATCTATGTTTATGTATGGGGGTAGAAAATAGCATCAAACTACGGATTTGTGTCAGAAATTTTGATTGTTCGTACATTCTATCGAAATATTTTAGTTTCGAACTGTGGACGCTAGTAGACGCCATTTTGTTATTCTTGAGTGTAGCTGCGATACACTATATGTATACTATATGTACGTGTACAGTTTCTTTTTAAAAATATCACCATATAAAGAATGATAAAATGAAACTTTTTTTTATATTAACAGTTTGTCCATTCGACGTTCAGTTTCAAAAATAAAAATTAATCATGCTTCAAGCTGCAATTTGTGAGACAATGCAAATTCTTCAAAATATCTGTTTTTCATTTTTAAAATATCGTGTTTTCACTTTAGAAAAAAACTTTGTATATATTTTCTGTAGAGTTCGATGAGATCTGTAAGAGGGGAAAAGTTTCAATCCAAAATGTTCATTATTAAAAGAATTATAAATTTTTAAAAATTCGGTTACCTAACCCTCTACTCAGTTCTTGAAAAAAATGAATTCTCCTATTTTTTAAAAATCGTGTCTTCACTTTAGAAAAAAACCTTGTAAATATTTTCTGTAGAGTTCGATGAGATCTACAAGGGAAAAAAGTTTCAATCCAAAATGTTGATTATTAACAGAGCTATGAATTTTTCAAAATCAAGTATCTTCGAACACGCTCCGACTCGGGACGTGTTTGGGTTCATTTTCACCGGAAAAGCATCGCCAATCCATTTAGTAGTTATTCTTATTAGTTTACGTTTAGAAATATTTAAATTTGATTTTTCATTGCTGTCCTCTCGATGGCCGACCGACTTTTGTTTACCGAGGCGCTAGACAAGCGGGTCGTCGGGTCGTTCGCGATAATTAAAGATAAACAATGGGGGGGATTATTCGTGTCGCTGTATCGGGGGAGAAATCTATCGTTATGTCAAGAGATTCCAGTATACAGAACATCGATTCTATAAAATTTAAAAAAAAATAACAAGTTTCTCCGCTCACATTGACCCCCTTTCTACTTTAAATTGCATAATTATTTGTAAATAATTCCTCGGTTTATTTTCCTTGGTGAATTTAATAATCATTTTTATTTTCGTTAGATTC